GACTAGCGGTCCCTTTCTCGGCTTTTCAGCAGGATCCAGTCATACAGCAGGTGGACAGGGAAGTGGTCAAATGGATGGTTCATCATCTCTCTTGGATTAAATTGCCTAAAACAGTGCCAGATGGGAGAGAATGCTCTGTAGTTTTTGTTCCTTACGAGGCAAAGGCTTTTGGACAGGTTTCTCTTCCCTTTCCTGGTGCTAGGTGGATCCCTTTGGCATTCTTGCCTACTCCTGAAGGAGCCACTGCTAAAACTGTCTTTTCAAGGGTAATGGTGTGTTGAAATATTGCAAGAGTTAAATCAGAAATTTCCGCCGCAGTATCAGTTGTTCTCGACAGCCTTCGCGGGGCTATCACAGCAGCCTCGGACTGACGTGTAGACTGCTGTCACATGAGAACCGTAAACGTCTTTGTGTGCGTATGCTGTTGTGTCGTGCGTCTTACTTTGGGGGTGTACACGCGGTTTGTTGAGTGGTTTGTGACTGGTGGTTGTGTTTGGTCCTACAAAGAGATCTTCACGCAATCGTGAGTCTGTAGAAGGTATAGATGTGTTTAATGTCATCTCGCGGGGGGCTGAGGGGGCTGAGTTCACGGTGAGTGGCGCATAAGCGTTCTTTCGTTAGAGTTAAGACCTTGGCTAGGAACTGTGGGGAGGGGCGGACATTGTTCTTCTGCAGGAGACAAAATTCAGTTACACTCACCAGAGTCACCAGAAAATTCAGTCAAAATTCTAAGTTTGACAAAATTAATGCCTAAATGAAGGCATTTCCAAGCACCCTCCATTTGCTTTGCAAAGTTTCTATACAGGGGAGATTTCTTTCATTGCATTGCTGCAGCAGAGTTTCAATGCATTGCAGAGTTTCTGGTGACTTCCTACTCATTGACAAAGGAAACTTTTTAAGACTACGCATATTACACATACCACTGTGAAAGGATAGTACCTGTTTGCGTTCTGTGGGCATTTCCATACTGTGACACCCTAATGAGTACCTTTACTACCATATAATATCCAAAATATATTAAGTGTGCAAAACTCAGGGCAAATGCAATAGCAACCTTTCCTGCTTCGGCAACGGAATCACAAACCGCTCTTTCGTTTTCTTCAAACATTTACACCTCTCAATTTGTGTGTGCATCGTCTATGTAACAGTTTGAACACTCAGAAAACAAGCGTTCACGTTTGAACAGGCCCGTTCAAACCTCCACGTGGTGCATTCAAACGCGTTCACACATGTCACATGGCAGGGAGCGGGATCTTTCGTTTTCTTCAAACGTTTACACCTCTCAATTTGTGTGTGCATCGTCTATGTAACAGTTTGAACACTCAGAAAACGAGTGTCCACGTTTGAACAGACCCGTTCAAACCTCCACGTGGCGCATTCAAACGCGTTCACACATGTCACATGGCAGGAAGCGGGATAAAACTGAACGCACGCTATCCGCCGGCGTGTTTGTGTGTGCATGTGTGTATGTGTGTGTGTGTGTGTGTGTGTGTGTGTGCGTGTGTTTTATTAAAAGACCCCAGATACTCTCTCTCATTCCCTTCACAAATCATCACAAGCCTTCCATAACGAACGAGTTAAGATATGCAATATAATAAAAAAGGCAAGGTTGGCCACGTTTGTGTGATTCGGCGCCAACCGCCCACAGGCCCCACACACCCATCTGCTGCCAAAGCGGCACACTTACATATACATAAGTATACATATATATTTCAAACCATAAGGGGATGGAGAGCAGAAGGCAAAGCGGCACACTTACATATAAATATGCATACATAACCATGAGGGGATGGAGGGCAGAAGGCAACTTACCTAAGACGGAAGACTACTCCGGCGAGAAAGCACCAGCACGACCCCCTCAAACGTCCGAAAACATTTGGGAGAGCCTTCCGCATCAGCCCACAAAATCAAAAACTCATTTACCAAAACCAAACCAATATAACAGCATTGGCATCCCCTACATTCATCTCAAACTGCACACTGCCGAAGAGGAGGAAGATAACAGCATTGGCATCCCCGACATCCATCTCAAACTGCACACTGCCGAAGAGGAGGAAGATAAGAGAACTTACTTCAAGTCGACAGAAGACTCCTCCAGCTGTGTTAGCGCGCGCTGCGGCGCTGATTGAGCACGGGGTCGGAGCTCAAATTTTTGAGCTGTGCTCAATCCCCCGCTCCAAAGCACTCGAGCGGAGCTTTGAGCGGTCGCAGGAATATTTTTTTTCCCTGGAAAATAATGAGCAAACAAAAAAATGAAAAAATACAAGGTTGTAGATATTTTCAAGATCTACAACCCTATGTTTTCTATTTTATTTTTTGAACTTCTTTGTTTTAAAAAAATCAAAAACGTGAAAGAAACAAAATAACAAAAAAATACAATATGAAATGGGTGGGTTTTTCTTTTCTTTCACAGAGATTTTTTTGCACGTGCAATCAGACTCGACTTCTTCACACTTGTCATGCATGCAAACAGCGAAACAGCAAACTGGCAACACGCGCCCACACAGTACTCAAAGATATCGTAACCAGGTAGGAGTTCCCTTCAAACTGGCTATGGCGACTGAGCGCCCACACAACTCACTGTTCGCACTCTGGATCACCCTGGATGTCCCACACGCAGCACTCTACACGCAACACACACACACACGCTACTAT